TAAATGTTTTATTGTGAATTATGTGATAGTTTACATGGGAGAACATTAGTTTTACATTCATTCTATCATTTATTGTCTCATTGCCATGGTTACAATCCCTCCATGCAATCCTTCCCCAGTACCCCCTAGGTCTTCAGCACACAGTTGCTCTCCCTCTCTGGATCTAAAGTCTCCAGCTGTTCCATCACTCCACGTCATCATCTCTGGCTCCATTTCAGGCATCACTGCTTCTCTGGGTAGGGTCCCACTCTCTGCTCTTCTCCCTTGATGATCTTAGGGACCTCCGCTCCTAGAAGGAAAAGTTAATTACTCCCCTCCTTGCTATAAAATGTCTACCTTTACATTTACGACCCTCACAATCAGTCCTGATAACAATTATTCACTATTGTATCACAAGAGACCCGTCTGCATTTCATTGCATCAACCCCGCCTAGTCAGATTGAATACTACTCACTGGAGATTCTACCTTCCTCCAGGCCCTCTGGATCTAGGTTCCCTCTTGAAAGCTTGTAAGCCAGTCACTTCTTGCCTTTGTAACCCCCCGCCCCCCATTTTGGGTAACCAATGTCCAAGTTGCCCATCCCTGTCTACTCTGTGTGTGGAGGGTGTGGAAATGATTCTTGCTGTAAGGATTTGTTCCCTCTTTTGAGCGACTGCTTCCATAGGTGTAGGTCAAGTTCATCAAATTGTATGAGAATACCTTTTTTTTTTTTTTAAATAATTAGTTGGAGAAGGAATGCATCCATGATGAATGCATGAAATAACTAAAGATGAACCTCAAGGAAAACAGCTACACTGCATGGAAAGTGAGTGTGAACATAGGGCGAACAAGAGAAAGGCAAACCAGTCAATCTTCTTAGCTCCTCAGTAGAGTTTGGCCAAGTGAGCTGGACTGAAAAAATACTCACCTGTAAAGGAATAACAATTATAGTAACTACTTCACAAGATTCTTATAAGGATTGTTGTTGTTGTTGTTGTTATGTGCTGTGGAGTCGGTTCTGACTCATAGTGACCCTGTACAGGCTTTCCGAGGCTGTAAATCTTTGCAGGAGCAGAAAGCCTCATCTTTCTCCCCGTGGAACGGCTAGTAGTTTTGAACTGTTGACCTTGCGGTTCTCAGCCTGATTCGTAACCACTACGCTACCAGAGCTCCTTTTATAAGGATTAGATGAATTTATATCTGTAGAATACATAGAGGTGTCCTGGTGTGGCACTGTAGGACAAGCACTGGACTGCTAACTACATTGTTGGTGGTTCAAACCCATCAGCCACTACTCAGAAACCCTATACAGGGTTGCTATGAATCAAAACCGACTTGATGGCATTTAACAACAACAAGGAAAGAGCTGGTGTAACAAGGAAAGAGCTGAGACCTACTCCCATAAAGATTATAGCCAAAAACTAAACACTATGGAATGGTTCTCCTCTGCCACATGGGTTCGCTATGGGTTGAAATTGACTTGATGTGGGTTAATGCGCTGGACTACAAGTTCACTTTGAACTACAAGGTCCAGCGGTTCAAGTTCACCAACTGCTCCTCAGAAACCCTATACAGGGTCGCTATGGATCGGAACAGACTGGATAGCACTTAACAACAACAATAAGCAAAAACAACTACTAACCAGTAACAGCAGAATACATTCTTTTCAAGTGCACATGGAACATTCACCAAAACTCATAAACTCATAAAAACAATCTATTCAAATTAATAAAGTTGGATTTATTTCAGTAATCTGGTGGGTATTGGGGAAAATTAACACCTTATTTATCTCAAAAGATGCTGCATCATTTAGGACTTTGTTGTGAATACAGCAGTAAAATTAAAATTGGAAAAATTAGGACTTGCAAAAGAAATTCCATTAAGAATTAAATGGCTTAAATATGTGTGTGTGTTCTTTAAAGCATTCAGCTTGCTTAAAGTCCATCATTAGTGGGTAATACTTTTGTATTGTTTTATATGAAGATGTAATAATTTTTTTACTGTTGTTAAATGCCAACCCAGTGTGTTCCCACTTATAGTGACCCTGTAGAGGGTTTCTGAAAAGTGGCTGATAGATTTTATCTGCCAACCTTGTATTAAACAGTCCAGTGCTTATCCTATAGTGCCACACCAGGATGTTTATTAATAAACACATAAATATATTTTTAAGTACACAGGTCAGTGCCTAGCACCTAGCACTGTATAACTGTTTATTATTATGATAATAACTGCACTTGGACTCCAAAACCCTGGGTTTGAGCCCTAGCTTTACTACTTATGAAAGCTTGGGCAAATTTTCCTTCCCCATCTGAAATTGGAGATAATAAAGAGAACTTTACACAGGGGGACTGAAAGAAGTGTTTTGAAAAATATAAAGCACTGTACAAATGGATGGCAGTATAATGTTGCACCCTCCTCTCCCCACATAGTCTATAATAAAAACGTTAACACCTAACATTCGATGCTTTCTATGTGACAGATAATGTGCCTAGTGCCTTGCTTGCATAATCCCCTTCAATCTTCAAACAACCCTAATAAATTGGCTACTGTTATTATCACCATTTTATAGACAAGAAGCTGGGTCTCAGAAAATTTAAGGCTGCAATTTGCCCAGAATCCCATATGGAGTAAGTGGCATAGTGAATCCAAGATTCCAAAAACCCAAGCTGATGAGCCGATTATAGATAACGTGGTCGACCCCTAGGCTACAGAGTAAATGTTTGAACTTTCATCTGTCAGGGCTTTCGTGAGGGAAACAATCTCCCACAAATTTTCCTGCTCAGTAGGAGGGAGGCGGTTGTGTAATGAGTGACATAGAACTGAAATAAATCTCTTGGATGTTTATACTTTGATTTTAAAACATTTTAGAATGTCCTGTACGTGTCAGGCAGGAGAAATATGAAGCTAATCTGCTGCCGTTTCAGAAATCCTATGGGGCAGTTCTACTCGGAATCCACTCCATGACAGTAGGTGGGTGTGGTGTTATGTATCAAGCGAAATGCCAGATAGGGAATGACAATTCAGTTTTGTTCCTAGCAGGCTATTTTCCTCCACTTACCCTACTCCTCCATTTCCTCATGCCCAAACGAAGTTTTGCTAACTTCCCCACTTCTGGATCCAAGCCTCGGTGTCTTCAATAGCCTTATATGCATGTGAAGGTTGGATAATACTGTATAAGAATCGATGCATTTGGGTTATAGTGTTGGACTGTCAGTAGAAAGTGCCATGGACTGCCATAATCTGTGTTGGAAACAACCAATTCTGTTCCTTAGAAACCAGATTGGCGAGATTTCATCTCTTCTACTTGAGACGTATTTTCTGGAGGGACCAGTCCCTAGAGGACATCATGCTTTGTAAAGTGGAGGGTCAGTGAAAAAGAGGAAGACTCCCCAACTAGATGAATTGGCACAATGGCAGCAGCAGTGGGTTCAATCGTAACAAGTGTAACGATGGCGCAGGACTTGTAGCGTTTCGTTCTGTTATACACGCGGTAGCTGAGTTGGAACCCACTCGACGGCACCTTACAACAATCCCACTTCCTTGCTTGCTGACAGGCAAGCAGAACACCGTGGGACCCACAAAGTGGGTGCTCCTCCCCGCTCGGTACAAGACAGGGAACTCGAGGACACGACTCCTCAACCGTCGCGTCTCGGCGTCGGTTGGACTGTCAGCCAGTCCCCTCCCCGCGCGGGAGCAGAACCGCCACGCCCTCAAGCCCCGCCCGCTTCGTGAACAATGACGACCACGGCCCTGCCCACCTTTTACGTCACTACCAAAACAATCCTTTAACTACAACTCCCAGAAGGCCTAGCGCCCGCGCGACCTCAACCACTTGCGGCTGTTCCGACACTTAGTCCAAATGCAAGTGAGCAACGCGCGAGCGCGTCTCTGTTCATTGCGCAAGCGCGGAAGCGCACTTGTTTCCGGCGAGGGTCTGAGCGAGGGTTCCTGGCCTTTCTACCTGTGAGTACTTCCTGCTAATCGGTTTGGGGTCAAGGCGCTGTGTTTGAAGAGAATAAGCTCAGAAAGGTCAACTTCGTCGTGGGAGGCTGGGACGAGTGCTGGACCTAGAGCTGCGGTCTGGGATAAGAAATAATTCTTCAGGTTTTCTTGGCAGTGGAAGTTTGCGAAATGCTTTTGTCTTCCTACAGTTTGTCTTAATTCCTGGACCAGATTGTGTGCGAGAAAGTGTAAGTGCCTTTAGTTTACAGCTGAGGGAAGGTATTCAGAGAAGTTGTAGTTTGTCCAGACACGACTAGTGGTTGCAGAGCCGGGCTGAAACTGCTTTCTAAATCCAAACCTCGTGGCCTTGGCTTTGCATCCTGGTTCCTTGTTGATGAAGGTGGTGGGGAGTGGACGTTTGTTGTTTTTTCTCAGATCTGGAGTATCCCAGTCGAACGATGTAATCAAGTACCCTTTCAATATATAGTATGTAGAATTTTCTCCTTTAACGTGGGTCATCTTTTCAGTCCAAGTTATTTTTTTGAGATGCCTGGGGTTTGAGCCCTGGTGTGGCGTTGTAGGATGAACACTAGACTGGTAACTGTAAGGTGTAAAGTTCAAACCCACCAACTGCTCTAAGAAACCCTATAATACAGGCTGGCAATGAGTCCTGATGTGGCGTTGTGGGTAATGCGATAGAATGCAAGGTCAGTTTGATCCACGAGGTTGGTGGTTCAAGCTCAGTTGCTCCTCAGAAATCATAGACAGATAAGGGTTGCTGCTGTGAGTCGTAACCGACTTCATGACATTTAACAACAACAACATGAGTCGCAACCGACTCGGGTACATAACAACAAGGGTTTGTCTAACTCTGTCCTAGTCACTAGAGATAAAACAGCAAACAAAAATGCCTAGTCCTTACATTCTAGTGAAGGAAAAAGGACAAGTTAATTGTGAGACAGATGGTGAGAGAAGGAAACTGAAGCAAGGTAAGGGGAATGTCGGGTTGAAGATTTGAGACAGAGGTCTTGTCATATGTGTCGGTCAGATCTTTCATTTGTTTCAGATACAGCAGCTCTACACACACGATGGGAGATGAGGCCAATGACGACAAGAAGCCAACAACTAAATTTGAACTTGAGCGAGAAACAGAACTTCGCTTTGAGGTGGAGGCGTCTCAGTCAGTTCAGTTGGAGCTGCTGGCTGGCATGGCAGAAATCTTTGGCACAGAGTTGACCCGAAATAAGAAATTCACCTTTGATGCAGGTGCCAAGGTGGCTGTTTTCACCTGGCATGGCTGTTCTGTGCAGCTGAGCGGCCGCACTGAGGTGGCTTACGTCTCGAAGGACACCCCTATGCTACTGTACCTCAACACTCACACAGCCTTGGAGCAGATGCGGAGGCAGGCAGAGAAGGAAGAAGAGCGTGGTCCCCGGGTGATGGTAGTGGGCCCCACTGATGTGGGCAAGTCCACAGTGTGCCGCCTACTGCTCAACTATGCAGTACGTTTGGGCCGCCGCCCCACGTACGTGGAGCTGGATGTGGGCCAGGGCTCTGTGTCCATCCCTGGCACCATGGGGGCTCTCTACATTGAGCGACCAGCAGATGTTGAAGAGGGCTTCTCTATCCAAGCCCCTCTGGTCTATCACTTTGGCTCCACCACTCCTGGCACCAACATCAAGCTTTATAATAAGGTTAGAGCCAGAACCCTGGTGGGGTGGAGGGAAGGGTTGCTGTCCAAGTAGGAAGCAGAGCAAGTTTGTTATTTCAAACTGTGTGCATCTATCTCGGCTGCTTCTCAGCTGGAACTTACTGCTCTATGATTTCACAAAAGGCAGAGTCACATACGAGAAGAAGCCAAAAAGTACTGTCAGTAGGCTTCCAGCTCATAAATGCATGGCTTTATGCCAAACAAAATCTGTTTAAACATGTCTCTGTTATCAGTGGGTGGCTTCAGACAAGCTCTCTCAGTAATAGACTTGTCTTAGTCTGTTTGTTGTCAAGTGCCATCGAGTCAGTTTCAACTCATGGTGACCCTAAATAGGGTCTCCAAGGAGCTGCTGGTGGGTTTGAACCTCCAACATTGTAACCGCAAGTCCAGTGCTTATCCTACAGTGCCACACCAGGACTCCTTAGTCTTTAGGTCCCTTCACATTTAAAATGTCCAATCAAAGACTGGCTTCCAAGGGGATCTGTTGGGCCAGTTAAATTCAAGGCAACTCAAAAGGTTATGGTGACAGTTTTTTGGGACTCAAAGGGGCAATCTCGATAAATTTTCTCCAGGGATCCAGAATGATGATGGGGGCTTGCTAGAAAGAAGTTTTAAGAAGAATGAAACTGTATTGGTGAGAAAAAAGCCAAGAAAGTTACAATAATGACTTTCCTCGGGATATTGTGCCTGTTCATTCTTCAAGGGTAGCAAGTACTCGTAGGAGAATTTCACTGGGAAACTCGACCCCATCCACTTGCAGCCCTGTCTTGCCCCTTCAGACTTTTGGTTCCCCAAAGATTTATATGATTTTTGTAGCAATATGTTTTTTACTTACCCTCCTATAATCCACCCTCAAATTATTAAATATTTTTATGGATCTATTATTAGGAATTCCTGGTATGGCACTGCAAGATAAGCACTAGACCATTCACCACAAGGTTGGCAGTTCAAACCCACCAGCCCCTCCACGAAAACCCTATACAGGATCTCCATGAGTTAGAACTGACTGCAGAGCACTTAACAAAAACAATCCTTAGGAACAGTCTTTGAGTGATTCATATGATTTGCAGTTGACCTCGAACCCTAAGGTTGGTGGTTAGGGCCTACCCAGCCATACTCTGGAAGAAAGGTTGGAGCTCTGCTTCTGTAAAGATTATAGCCAAGAAAATACCCTAGGAGCAGGTGTGCTGTGAAAGGTGTGCAGGCCCCAGGAGGTGGGGTTTTCCTTTTCTTTTTCTGAGGAGGTAACCATTGCTTGCATTATTTCCACTTAGGACATAAAATTAGGAGGTTGAAGAATTAATATAAAAACAAATTAAGTCCTCATTAAGTGAGTAAACCTGAAACCATAAAAAACACTGTTTTTTTGTACTCAATGTTGTTAAATGCCGTCGAGTTGCTTCCAACCCATAGCGACCCTATAGAGGATTTCCAAGGAGCAGTTGGTGAGCTTGAACTGCTGATCTTGCTGTTCAAAAGGCTTTGCAGTCTGGCGCCTTAACCCACAGCGCCACGACAAGACTCCTCTTGTACTCCATACTTTATGCTAAATAGCCATGGATTTGTCTTTGTTTTTTTTCTCACCTCGGCCCTCTCTTCCTCAGATTACATCTCGTCTGGCAGATGTGTTCAATCAAAGGTGTGAGGTGAACAGAAAGGCCTCGGTGAGTGGCTGCGTCATTAACACCTGTGGCTGGGTCAAGGGCTCTGGCTACCAGGCGCTGGTGCACGCGGCCTCCGCTTTTGAGGTCGATGTGGTGGTGGTTTTGGATCAAGAACGGCTGTACAACGAACTGAAACGGGACCTGCCCCACTTTGTCCGTACTGTGCTCCTCCCTAAATCAGGGGGCGTAGTTGAGCGCTCCAAGGACTTCCGGCGGGAGTGTAGGGATGAACGGATCCGAGAGTATTTCTACGGCTTCCGAGGTTGTTTCTACCCCCATGCCTTCAATGTCAAATTTTGCGACGTGAAAATCTACAAAGTTGGGGCCCCTACCATCCCAGACTCCTGTTTGCCTCTGGGCATGTCTCAGGAGGACAATCAGCTGAAGCTGGTACCTGTGACCCCGGGCCGAGATATGGTGCACCACCTGCTGAGTGTAAGCACCGCGGAGGGCACAGAGGAGAACCTTTCGGAGACAAGTGTTGCCGGCTTCATCGTAGTGACCAGTGTGGACCTGGAGCACCAAGTGTTTACCGTCCTCTCTCCGGCTCCGCGCCCCCTGCCTAAGAACTTCCTTCTCATCATGGATATACGATTCATGGATCTTAAGTAGTGGATAGCCAGAGCCTTTCTGCCTAGAACTTAGAGGTCTTCTGACTATGACCCTCACCAAAGGCAGGAAGGCTGAGCTTTGAGGATTTGGTGAGGCCTGGATGACTGTAAAGAGTGGATTCCCAGAAAGCGTAGCTTCTGCCTCTTAAAGCACATGGAGATGACCTGACTATTCTAGTCTCAAGTCCCAAGGAAAACTATCATCTAACTACGATGCCAATTTGAATTCTCCAAGACCATGGGAAGTCCCATTTCCTACACTGTGCTGTCATTGTGTGAACGCGTTTTTAAGAGGTTGCTTTATCCTTGCTTTAAATCTGTGCAGTTACTTCCTCTCATTAATTCAAGATGAAATTGTGAATTAGAGTGACTCTAGTAAAGTTCAAACTTGAAAAAAAGAGTATTTTCATAAATATTTTTACCACCCCGCATAGTGGTTATTTTTCAGTTTGTTTTCTGAAGAGTGGGAGTGGGTTCTCGGTGTGGCACTGCAGGTAAGCAGGTGATACATTCTGGGGGTGAGATTTCAGATCTAATCATTTTCCAGAGATGGCTCATTTGCTCTCACTTGCAGCTATCTTTTCTATTGTTTATTTGAGCCTTCTGGTGGTAAGAAGCTGAGAAAACCCATCATCTGGTCTCCTGTAAGAGATTATTTGGTATTCCTAGTGTGATTAAAGGAGTCATGTTAACATAGTGGCTTGTGGGACTGCTAACTGCACTGTCAGCAGTTTGGATCCTGTAAAGATTTACAGCCTCAGAAACCCTGTGCTGGTGGTTGTGTGCTGTGGAGCCAGTCCTGACTCAGTGACCTTGAGTTTCTGAGGGTAAAATTTTTCACAGATGCTGAGAGCCTCATCGTTCTCCCAGGGAGCGGCTGGTAGATTCAAACTGCTGACCTTGTGGTTAGCAGCCTGACTCGTAATACACTATGCTGCCAGGGCTCCTTAGACACCCTATATGAGGGTCACTGAGTCACCTGAACCGTCTTGATAGCATGCAGCAACAGCAGTATGATTAAAAAGCTCTGTAGTAGTGTAGTGGGTTACAAGTTAGGCTGCTAATCACAAGGTCAGCAGTTCGAATCCACTAGCTGTTCTGTGGGAGAGCCATAAGGCTCCCGCACCGGGGTCGTCGTGAGTGGGAACCGACTGGATGGCGTGCAGCAGCAGCGTGATTAATGTATAATAGGAGCCCTGGTGGCGTGCTGTAAGGTAACCGCTAGTAGAACGGTGAGGCTTTCTGCTCCGGTAAAGACTCACAACCTTGGAAGCGACACCAGGTCACTATGAGTAATAATCAACTTGATGGCAGTGTGTGAGTCTAGACTTGGATTCTTTCACATATAGGAGATTTTGTTGTAAAACAAAAAAAGGTAAATGCCACTGCCATTGAATTGATTCCAACTCATAGTGACCCATGAACAGCTCCCTAGGGTTTCTGAGCTATACACCTTTATGGGAGGGGATAGCCTCATCTTTCTCCTGACGAGCCGCTAGTGGGCTCAAACTGCTGACCTGTGGTTAGCAGCCCAATGTATAACCCACTATAATCCCAGTGGGTTCAAAATAGAGACAAATTGGGTAACATGAAAGAGTGACTGGAAAGTTACTTGGAGAAAAGTTCTTGGAGTTAAGATCTGTAAGGCCGTGCCAAGTTTGGAGCAGAACTTTCCTAGTGGAGGAACAGGTGCAACACCCCAAGAAAGGCATACTGTGTTTGGGGAAGAGAAAAGCTAGTGTGGCTGGAACGTAACGAACCGAGGGATAGTGGTACAAGATGAGGCTGGAGGGGCAGCACAGATCAGATAATGTAGGGCTTTGGGAAATGGGGTGAACAGTCTTAATTTGGTTCTGAGATGATGGGAGTGGGAAAACCTAGGAGTGGGCTGGTGAAAGAGGAAAAGACACCTGATTTGTATTTTGAGAAGCTCACTGCTCATGTAGAGTGGATTACAGAGAACAGTAGCTGCAAGGACACAAGTTGGGGGACTTGTAGGGAGTCTCGGTGTAGGAAGCGCATGCAGAGCTAGTAAGCAAATTGCTTGAAAGTACAATTGATTGGATTTAATGGGAGTGATGAAGTAAAGAGACTGAAATACAAAATAATCCCTAGATCCTTTTTGGAGGACCAGGGGCTATCAAGAGTACTGTTTCCTAGAGGGAACAAGTCCTAACAGCAAGAATCATCCCCACCGCCTCCACACACAGAGTAGACAGGGATGGGCAACTTGGACATTGGCTACCCAAAATGGGGGGCGGGGGCTACAAAGGAAAGAAGTGACTGGCTTACAAGCTTTCAAGAGGGAACCTAGATCCAGAGGCCTGGAGGAAGGTAGAATCTCCAGTGAGTAGTATTCAATCTGTCTAGGCGGGGCTGATGCAATGAAATATAGACGGGTCTCTTGTGATACAATAGTGAATAATTGTTATCAGGACTGACTGTGAGGATCGGAAATGTAAAGGTGGACGTTTTACAGCAAGGAGGGGAGTGATTAACTTTTCAGTCTAGGAGCGGACATCCCTAGGACCATCAAGGGAGAAGAGCAGAGAGCGGGACCCTACCCAGAGAAGCAGTGATGCCTGAAATGGAGCCAGAGATGATG